AACTAAGCTTGATGGTGGTTGTCGAGGCCAACACAAATAATAACCCTAAATATTACACACTAAAATAGTGTATAGTGGTAAAGGGATCGAATCCACGGAGATTGGTTCAATTTATAACTCTATGAAAAAATCTCTTTGTAAAAATACTTGTAAAATGACAATAAATATAAAATGGGGGGGTTGGTGTTTTGAAACACTTGAAACAAACTAGAATTAACTATGATTTAAATAGACAAATGCAACAAAAATAAGAGTTTGATGTAAAATCAATAAGGGAGAGAAGGTTGACTTAAAGTTTCCTCACTTTGACTTTTGATGAACATATCATTAGAATCCAATGGTGCAATACTTTGATTTAAATCCTTAATTTGGCTATAGTAATCCAAGGAGCTTGAGATTACCTAGACTTTTCTTAATTGTTGAAATGGCTAGAGAAGCTCATAACAATTTCCTTAGTCAAAGTCACTAATTCCAAATAGCATGTAATTAGTGAAAGTCAACTAGCATTAAGAACCAAAAAGTCACCAAATCCAAGAGGGGTCAAATGCTTTCACCACCATGTTGGAGGAAATGTTTTTATGATTGTGTGAAGCAAAAACAACACAAAATCATTTGTTGCTTGCTAATTTGAGGATCCTTTACTTAATCAAGAAATTAGCCAACTAATCACCACAAACACATTTAAACTCATGAACTAAAACATACAAGTAATGATAAGATGTTAAAACACAAAACATTCCCATAAAGATTCAAGAACATGTTCATGGATTCTTCAACATTCAACAAAAGTTCAAAGGATTAACCAAAAGTCAACCAAGATTAGCTTAGCCAAGCATGGCTAAACCCAAAGAAACAAAGTTAGAGAAAATTGTACCAAACATTAAGCAAGAATCAAGAGGTAAAAATATGATGTTCTTCAAGGGTTCTTGGCCTTCAAAAGTCTTCAAAACTCCAGAGAGAATCTCCAAAAATCGGATGTCCAAGAGTATGCAAAAGATGGGCACCAACCTTCCTCAAATAGCTTCAAAAGAAGAATTTCCGAAATGCCCCTGCAGGAGGTTGCGCGACCCGCGTGCTCTTGCGCGGGTGGGTTGCGCGGGTGGTCCCTGGATGTAGCATCTTTGAGGTTTTGGGCCTCCATAGCTTAGCCCAATTGGCCCAGATCGAATCCAATCACCTCCTAGCCCATTTTCTTCAAGTTTTTCTTCATTTTAAGCCCAATTTGACCTCTCCAAATCCTCCAAAGCTCGTGAACTCGCCCGATTAATAATTTACGTACTTGAATATTCCCCCGCATCTTGCAAATTTAAAGTTTATTTCTCTCCAAGTCTTCAAATAATCATCAAGATCACTCCATGCATCATCTCCACTACCCATCAAGCCCAACGTCATTTTTGTCTACCAAATCTCATCGCCTCCTATACGTCCCGAACACTCCCGCTCCGCTAGACCCGAAAACCTGCAATTATGCTCACAAGATTCGAGAGTACCCGAAATAGTCATAAAATAACAAAAAGGAAAATATGCATGGAAATTATCTAAATTATGAATGAAATATGCTAAAATAAACTATAAAAAGAAGTAAACAAAACTAACTATCAAATCACCCCAAGCTTAAACCTTACTTGTCCTCAAGTAAGACAAGACTAAAATGAACTCGGGATGAACTATCCTAAGAAAATAAAAAGAATTGATAGAACCGTAGAACCTGATCCCCGTTAGTCAACATGGTCAGAATTGATCTTGCTATTACCTCACGAATTTTTCATCCGATGACAATGGAACCATAAACCACACCCAGGACAACTCCTTTAGGTGAGTAAGGAGGGATGAGCAGTCGCAGCCTCAATGGAACATGCATACAATGAAGAATATATGTAGTAGGGAGAAAGCAGCTGGATGGGCTCGGGTGGAGCTCTTCTTTAAGTGTACACTCTGATCTCACATTTGCCGGTTTCTCTCATGTGTAACTAGGTTTAATCGCTCGGGCACCGTTGTAGGAAACGATTCACTTGGTGTTGGCCCAAACCTCCTAGTATTCGACTCGACAGTCTCCCTAACATCACCAATTTACGAAAAACAACTCGATCTATATACAAAAAACATACCTAAATAAATGAATATCAAACACCAGGTGACCAAAATGTTAGAAAATTTAGTTCAATAATTGAACCGGTCACCCTTCTTAGATTTCTACGGCTGGGAATTTGCCTGCACACCATTTATTTTATTTTTATTTTTTTGTTTTTTGTTTTGTTTTGTTTTGTTTTGTTTTGTTTTTTTTAAGATGTTACCATACTTGAAGGTAATGTAATAACAACCCTTTGACTCAACATTTGGTTCCTAAAGTGTGTAAGTGGAACCGAAAGGGTAGTAATATAATCCGAATGGTCTAAGCGAGAAAATGACCATGTGTGGAGCATAAAGATATAATGTAAGCTCCTCTTCCAATTTGTGAATTTTTTTTTTTCTAAAATAACGAAATTGTCCACATGCGGACTAAAAGACTTCTCTAAAATCCTAAGAAAATCGCAAAAAGATATGGTGATGTAAAAAGACTGGATATGGATTCTACTCGGGGACAAGCACTAGTGCTTCATCCTAACAGTTCAAACATGATCAAGTGTGATCCTCTCGGCGGTAGTGACCGCAAGGCTAAGACATCCATTGCTATAGTATATCCTATAGACATTAGTATTGTATGCATAATTCTTCATGAAAACTACCTGTCCATGATCACTTACCCCTTTAAGCTACCAGCATCTGATCCCAAGTATGAGGTCCCAGACTGCAGCTAATGGTCCCGGTTCGATGGGTGAGATAGCAACAAGATCCTGGACCAATAATGATACAATAACTATGAACCTGTTCAATGGCATCAAAGGAGATGAGAATAAACAGACAACAAAAATGCATGAATGTTAATGTCCTAAGCTAAATGTTATGCAAAAATATAAAAGGTGAAAAAGAAGAAAATAAATTCTTTTTGGAATTAAAAAAAATGAATGAAAATTAGTTTAAAACTACAATGTTATGCAACCTAATTAAAAATGCATGAAAAAATAAAAGGAAAATGAAATGCCCCACCCCAAGCTTAAGAACAAGCATTATCCTCAATGCTTGAGGAAAGGGCGGAAAGGACCTAAATCGGGGGGTCGGGCGGCGGGAAATGCCCGTGGCGATAGTGGCAGTCCCACATATCCTGGACCTGGCAGGAAGTGTGAAGGGAGGACTGCTCCAATCGATCAACACGGCTCTCGAATTCTCTTGCATTTGGGTGTCGATGCGCTGCACCGTGGAGAACATTGTGGCAAATTGGTCAAAGAACGTGGTGGGGAAATATGGTGGGACTTCGTGTCCCTCCTGCTGATGCGGCTGGTCAAAATGGTGTGGAGGGGCCTGGAATTGATCATGCGGAAACATCGGCTGCTGCATCGAGGGCTGGTCAAAATGGTCCTCAGCTTCGGGCATCTCGTTGTTCTCTTCGTCATCTTCTTCCTCTTGTTGCTCTGCGTCGTCACCCTCATCATCACCAAATTCTGGGAATACACCTGCTTGGGTCAATTGATCTGGAGGAAGCCAAGTGTCGGGGTCGCCTGTATCGAATGAAGAACGATCCAACTTGGCAGGATGTAAACCGGGGCTTTGTCAGAGTCTAACCAACTGTACGTGCGGGTTCCCTGATCGAGCAACATCTCCATCCGGATGAGAGTGTCACAATCTAGCAGAAGTTCGGTGGGCTGTCGACAGGTATATACTCGGGATCCGGGAAGTCTAGGCCGACGGCTCGACCTATGATCGTGATAAGTCCCCTGATGAAAATTTCCCCTGAGAAACGTTGGCGTATGGAGTCACATTTGTCTAAAAAGAAGCTTGAAAAACTGAGGGGGAGTGCACGCCTCATGCTTCGGAGGAAAAATAGCTCACAATCTGTTGATTTGACCGGGCTCGAGACGCCCGAAGATACTCGTCGTAAGGACTCGGTGAGCAATTCGCCAGCAGGGGTGAACGATGTTCTTGGCTCGCTGTCGGCTTGGGTTGAAGGTTGCGAGACCGGAAATTTGCATCCAAAAGTTTCCATCAGGGTAACGCAGAAAATCTTGGTACTCTTGATTTTGGGGGCTGATGCGGAGTGGATCGTCTATACCCATGATAGAATCAAGCTCTTCGTATGTGAGCCTATGATGCTCCCCTTTCAACTGGAATGTGAGGACTTTCGTGTCATCATCTCGTGCATATGTGCTAAGAAATTCCATTGTGGGTTCCTCGTAAGTTCTGTCACAAAGTCGAAGAAAACCACGCCAACCCAGTTTTACGAACAAATTGTATACACCATCATGCACCCCAAGCTTTTTCATGGACTTTTTATGGTAGAATTTTGTCGGCCGGATTGCGCGACCCTGAAGATTGGAGCGATAGGTTTTGATCTCAGCATTTGTAAGGGAAGGATCGCTTCCCTCTTCTCCTCTTTTTTTTTTTTCCGTTTACCGGCTGCTTTGCGTGATGGACCGGTGACATCCTTTTGCGGGTTAGGATCGATCGATGATCCATGGGTGCGTGTCCGAGCCGCGGTTTTGCCCATTTTCAAAACCTACAATATCAAAAACAACTTCACCAACGTAATCCCTCACCTCACCACTCTTAAATCAATGCAACTATCTTTAGACCGAACACAAAAAAAAAAATCCAAGAAATAATGACACCCAACTTTTGACAATGTAAAATGGTTTCAACAACACCACTCGGTTAATTTGATAATCCCAACAAAATTCGGCAGCAATACGAGACAAAATGAGAAAATCCCAACCAAAGTTTAAACAATTTTTGAACAAATTTCCAAGCAAATTAACCAATCTCAACCTTTCTCAAATCAATGTTTCCAAATAAACCGGGCAACAACTAACGATCTTAGGCAATTTCCAAAGCATAATTGGATGCAATTATCGAATTGAAACAATGCAATGTAATAAAAACCAAGGAAAGAGAATACCCGTATTATCCCAAAATTGAACTTGAACCCAGAATCCGCTACCGTGCACCCCAAGCTTTGGTTATTCGTGGGTGCCTAAATGCAAGACTTGTTCATTGAAGGGATATTTTCAACTTGATTTGTGTGAAAAATCCGCGGCGGCTCGTGGTGGCTCAAAAATTATGGGAAAATTTTTGGTGAGATTTTGAGGTTTTGTTTGGTTAGATGTAAAGATCCCTGAAAAAGACACACTTTGGTGGTGTCGGAATTGCGAGAGGTGGTAGTAGTTGGCCGGAAAATGGTCGGAAAGCGGCGAGTTGGGTGGTGGTGGCGCCCCTAGACCCGACAATGGATCGGAGTAAACTTCAGGTGGGGTTTGTAGAGCACGAAAAATGGTGAAGAATGGTGGTGGTCTCGTCGTATTCCGACCGGTAGAACTCAGGGAAATCAAATTTTTTGTGAAAAGTAGGTTTATGTGTTCTTGAGAGTTTGAGAGAGAATGGTGGGGTTTTTGAGAGAATGAAATGAAGAAGAAGAGTTGCTGGAGGTTTTCAATCCATATTCAAGTGTGGTCAACACCCGGTCAATGTTGGTCAACTCATTAAACCACCTGGTCAACGAAAGTCAAAGTTGGTCAACAAAATATGGGATGGTCGTCAAAGCAGCACGTGGGTCGCGCAGAGGGGGCACGCAGGTCGCGCAGATCATGCAGTTAGCTGCCTGATTTTTGTTGCAAGTCGAAGACCGGCCGTGCACACCAGCCGCGCACCCGTGCGCGGGTCGCGCAGATCCCTGCTCTCGGAAATCGATTTTTCTCTGTTTTCTTCCGTTTCTTCACTAGTTCTTGATCCCAAATGCCCCAAACACCTAGAAACTCTTGATTTCTTCAAAAATGACTTCAAAAGACACATCAAAACATTTTCAAAACTTCTTTATTCGAACATAGAAACACGAAAGCATAAAGCTTTTCCAAAAATGCCTCTCTTTAACGTCTTAGGCGAGACGTCCTTCTAGCTTGGTTCAACACACCGGGACATCCAAGTGGATGACTTTAATAACACTTGCATTAAAACTTTCATAGAATGGCTTTAATCGGTGCCCGTTAACTTTGAAAATTTGTCTCGTTTCTTCACTTTGGATTTCCACCGCTCCATGGTCAAAAGTCTTTATTACAACAAATGGGCCAATCCACCTTGATCTTAATTTGCCCGGGAATAACTTCAACTGTGAATGGTAAAGTAAGACCCTATGTCCCGGTTCAAAATTCTTCCGGGTAATGGACTTGTCGTGGAAGAGCTTCGTTTTCTCCTTATAAATCCTTGCGTTTTCATAGGATTCGTTTCTCAATTCTTCTAGCTCTTGGAGTTGAAGATTTTCCGAAAACTAATCTGAAGGGCGACATTCCAATCGGGGTCTTATAAGTGGTCCGATATGCCCATAAGGCATCGTCAAGTCTGAAACTCCAATCCTTCTTTGTCGGATTCACCGTTTTCTCTAGAATAGACTTCACTTCACGATTCGAGACCTTCGCTTGACCATTCGTTTGAGGGTGATAAGCAGTGGAGACACGATGAGTCACGTGATACTTCTTCAATAGAGCCTCCATCATTTTGTTGCAAAAGTGCGTCCCTCTATCACTAATCAAAGCCCTAGGCACACCAAATCTCGCAAAAACATTAGACTTTAAAAACTCGATAACCGTTTTGGCATCGTCCGATCTTGTGGCTTTGGCTTCAACCCATTTAGAAACCTAGTCAACCGCGAGTAAAATATAAACGTTGCCAAATGATACGGGAAATGGGCCCATAAAATCAATCCCCCATACGTCAAAAATTTCACAAACAAGGATTGGATTTTGGGGCATTTTGTTCTTTTGCGAAATGTTTCCCGTCCTTTGGCATTGCTCACAACTTTTGCAAAACATATAACAATCGCGTGACATGGTTGGCCAAAATAATCCACATTCAAGGACCTTTCTCAAAGTTCGGCTAGGTCCGAAGTGTCCCCCACAAGCAAATTCATGACAGAATTGCAAAATGGATTGGTGCTCTTGTTGGGGCACACATCGCCTAATGATTTGATCGGGACAATGTTTCCACAAATAAGGTTCATCCCACACATAGTATTTTGCATCACTTTTCAACTTGTCTTTTTGAGCACGTGTGAATGTGTCGGGATACCTTTTTGTGACCAAAAAGTTAACGATATCGGCATACCAAGGAATAGATTGGTAAGGGAAAAGATGCTCATCCGGAAACTCGTCCCGCAATGGGAGAGGAGTTTCATTTGAAGTGATCCGACTTAGATGATCGGCAACGAGGTTCTCGCATCCGCTCTTGTCCCGGATTTCCAAGTCAAATTCTTGTAACAGTAGGATCCACCGGATGAGTCTCGGCTTTGCATCTTTCTTCGTCATCAAGTACTTAAGAGCTGCGTGATCCGAATACACTATGACCTTGGTACCAAGTAGATATTGTCTAAATTTCTCCAAGGCGAACACTATGGCCAATAGCTCCTTCTCCGTGGTAGAGTAGTTGCTTTGGGCATTGTCTAGTGTCCTTGATGCATAATAGATCACATGGGAGGCCCTCCCATTCTTTTGACCCAAAACGGCGCCAATCGCATAGTTGCTTGCATCATACATGATCTCAAAAGGGAGATCCCAATTTGGTGCTTGCATGATGGGAGCGGATGTAAGCAACTCTTTGAGCTTGTCAAAAGCTTCTTTGCACGCCTCATTGAACTCGAAATCGACCTCCTTTTGCAAGAGTTGGCACATTGGTCTTGTTATCTTTGAAAAATCCTTGATGAACCTTCGGTAGAAACCTGCATGGCCCAAAAAAGAACGAACTTCCCGAACACAAGTCGGGTAAGGTAAGCTTTGAATAACATCAATTTTAGCCTTATCTACCTCAATTCCTTTTTTAGACACAATGTGACCCAAAATGAGACCTTGACTCACCATGAAATGACATTTCTCAAAATTCAAAACCAAGTTTGTTTCAATGCATCTTTTTAAAATTTTTGTGAGATTAGTCAAACATTCTTGAAAAGAGTTGCCATGTACCGTGAAATCATCCATAAAAACCTCAATTATGTTTTCAACATAATCCGAAAAGATACTAACCATACAACGTTGGAAAGTGGCCGGGGCGTTACACAATCCAAATGGCATTCTCCGGTATGCAAAAGTACCAAATGGGCATGTAAATGTTGTCTTTTCTTGGTCCTCCGGTGCCACCGGGATTTGGTGAAAACCAGAGTACCCGTCTAGACAACAATAATGGGATTTCCCGGCCAACCTTTGTAACATTTGGTCAATGAAAGGCAATGGGAAATGATCTTTTCGTGTGCTCGCATTGAGTTTGCGGTAGTCAATACATACTCTCCACCCGTTTTGCACACGGGTGGGGACCATCATACCTTTGTTGTTCTCGACCACCATGATTCCCGTCTTCTTTGGAACGACTTGCACCAGACTCACCCACTTGCTATCCGAGATTGGATAGATCATCCCCGCATCAAGAAGCTTTAATATCTCTTTCTTCACAACTTCCATCATTGGTGGATTTAACCTTCTTTGCGCGTCTCTACTTGGCTTGCATTCATCCTCCATTAAGATCTTGTGTATACAAGTGGAGGGGCTAAAACCCTTGATATCCGTAATCGTCCAACCCATGGCTTCTTTATGCTCCTTCAACACCTTGAGGAGTTGCTCTTCTTCAAATTCGGTTAAATGAGTTGAGATGATAACCGGAAGAGTTTCATTCTTTCCCAAGTAGGCATACTTCAAGTGTTGAGGTAAGACCTTTAATTCCAATTCGGGTGGTTGAACAAGGGATGGAGACAATTTTGTATGAGTTAAGGGACAATTCAATTTGCTTGACATCTAATCTTGTGGATTTTTTCATTTCCATTTTATTTACCAACTTCTCAACTTCCGGATCCAAAGAATAAAGCTTTAATTGCTCGGCTAGCTTCCCACAATCGAATCCTTTGCTTAAGATCATCTCCAACATATCACCGTTAGATAACTCAAACAATTCTTGAGTAATTGGCTCAACAACATCAACAAAGTACAAAGATGAAACATCACTAGGATATCTCATGGCATCATAAATATTAAAACTTACTGTTTCACCATCAAACTCCATTGTCAAACTTCCCGCATACACATCGATCTTTGTCCTAGCCGTCTTCAAAAATGGTCTCCCAAGCAAGATTAGAGCCGGTTTGGAAGACACTTGCTCATCTAGATCAATCACATAGAAATCCATCGGGAAGACTAATTGGTTCACTTGCACTAGGACATCTTCTAAAACACCTCTAGGAAAGACACTTGATTTATCCGCAAGAGAGATTATGACACCGGTTTCACTTAAGGGTCCGACATTTAATGATTCATACACTGAGTAGGGCATGACATTGATAGAAGCGCCAAGATCAAGCATAGCACCACTAAAAGTGACATCTCCAATCTTGCAAGGAACCGTAAACATTCCGGGATCTTTGCATTTGGGTGGAAGTTTCCTTTGTAAAACAACGGATGCGTTTTCATTCATCAAAATTTTCTCATTTCCCTTCAACTTCCTCTTGTTGGTACAAAGTTCTTTCAAGAACTTTGCATATCTCGGGATTTGCTTGATTGCATCAAGTAGAGGGATGTTTACTTCCACCTTTCGGAAGGTGTCCAAAATCTCTTTCTCCTCCATATTCTTCTTGGGAAGT